TTCTGGCTTTATCTTCTACAAAAATATTTTAATTCTCCTCTTATATCATGTTTCAATTTTGAAGTCCCCTGTTTGTTTGAATAGCTAAAAATAGCTATCCAAGCAAGATGTTTTCCAGGAGATAAATTGAGAATATTCCCTTCACTTTGCATGTGGCATAGTCTTTCCCTCCATCCAGGCATTTTGGTATCCTTCCAGTATTTATCTAGAGTAAACCTGGAATGAAAACCTGTGGCTCTAGTTTTATCAAAAGTAGGATTGATTTCTTTCCATCTCATTCCTTGAGGTTGAATTCATAAACTTGATCGTAGAATTGAACATTTATCCTTTTCAAATTTTATCCTGTTCATTTAGTCTATTTAAGAGTATTTCAGTCTTGATTTTGTTGTCCTATATATTAGTTATCCCTCTCAGTTTTCTGTGATTTTTAAAAAACTGCAAAAGTGAATTTTTCAATAATTTGGAACTCTGTTTCATCTTTTTTTATGGAAGTATATTTGACTTACAATATTCTATTAATTCCAGATGTACATCATAGTGATTCGATATTTTCATACATTACAAAGTGATCCCCACAATAAGTCTAGTTACCAAAATGTTATCAGACAATTTTATTACAATATATTGACTATATTTCCTGTGTTGTACATCACATCCTCATGACTTATTTGTTTTATAGTTGGAAGTTTGTTCCTCTTAATCACCTTCACCTATTTTACACTCCCCCCAAACCCTTCCCACTCTGGTAACCAAATGGCTGTTTCCTGTTTCTATTTTGTTTTTATTTTTCATTTGTTTTGTTTGTTAGAGTTCACATATAAGTGAAATCATACAGTATTTGTATTTATTTGTTTAACATATTTCACTTAGCATAATACCCTCTAGGTCGATTCATTTTGTTGCAAACAACAAGATTTCCTTCTTTTTTATGGTTGAGTTATATCCTATTGTATGTATATATCCCATACCATTCATCTATTGATGGATATTTCAGTTCCTTCCATATCTTGGCTATCGTAAATAATGCTGCAATGAACATAGAGGTGCATATTTCTCTTCAAATTCATGTTTTCACTTTCTTTGGATTAACACCCAGAAGTAGGATTGCTGGATCTTACGGTTTTTTAATTTCTTGAGGGACCTCTATACTGCTTTCCATAGTGGATGCACAAAGTTATAGTCCCACTAAAACAATGAGAGGATTCCGTTTTCTCACCTTTTTGCCAGCACTTGCTATTTTTTGTCTATTTGGTAATAGTCAATCTGATAGGTGAGAGATGATCTGACTGTGGTTTAATTTATATTCTCTGATGATTTGTGATGTAGGACATCTTTTCATGTGCCTGTTGGTAATCTGTATGTCTTCTTTGGAAAAATGTTTATTCAAGTGTTTGCTCATTTCTTAATCATGTTGTTTGTTTTCCCTATTAAGTTGTATAAATTCTTTATATATTTTTAATGTTAACTCCTTATCAGATAGATGATTTACAAATATCTCCCATTCAGTAGTTTGCCTTTTCAATTTGTTGATGGTTTCCTTTGTTATACAAAAACTTTTTAATTGATGTAATCCCATTCTTAAAATTTTAGGTTTTGTTGTCCTTGTCTGAGGAGACTCTCTGGCACCCAAAATGCTGCTGAGTCAAAGAACTTACAGCCTGTTTTCTTCTATGAGTTTTATGCTTTCAGGTCTTACATTCAAGTCTTTAAATCCATTTTGAATTTATTTTTCTATATGATGTAAGATATTGGTATAAGATATTGGTTCAGTTCAATTCTTTTCCACAAAGCTGTCCAGTTTTCCCAACACCATTTATTGAAGAAACTGTCTTTTCAACATTGTATATATATCCTTGCCTCCTTATCATAGATTTACCATGAATGTGTGAGCTTATTTCTGGGCTCTTTATTCTGTTCCATGTATATATGTGTCTGTTTTTGTGCTAGTACACTACTGTTCTGATTACAATAGCTTTATAGGATAGTTTGAAATCAGGGAATATGATACTTTCAGCTTTTTCTTCTTTCTCAAGATTGCTTTGACTATTCAGGGTCTTCTGTGTTTCCATACTCATTTTAGAATTCCTTATTCTAGTTCTGTGAAAAATATTTGTATTTGATAAATATTGTATTGAGTCTATAGACTTGTGTAGTATGGACATTTTAACAATATTAATAATTCTAATACATGAGGGGGTATATGTTTCCACTTAATTGTGTTGTCTTCAATTTTTTCATCAATATGCTATAATTTTCAGAGTGCAGGTCTTTCACTCCCACTTGGTTAAATTTACTCCTAGGTATTTTATTCTTTCTGAGGCAACTGTCAGTGGGATATTTTTTCTGGATTTCTCTTTCTGATAGTTTGTTATTAATATACAGAAGCACAACAGATTTTTGTATGTTAATTTTGGATCCTGCAAATGTACTGAATTTTTTATTACATCTAACAGTTTTTTGATGTGGTCTACTTAGTATCATGTCATCAACAAATATTGACAGTTTTACTTCTTCCTTTCCAATTTGGATGCCTTTTATTTCTTTTTCTTGCCTAATTGCTAATGCAAGGATTTCCCAATACTATGTTAAAAGTGGTGAGGGTGGGCATTCTTATATTCCTGACATAATATATTCAGATAGTGGAGTAGTATATGCCAATGAAAAAAATTAATAATTGACATATGTAACAATTGGGATTAAGGAAATATGTAAAAAATATGAAATCCAAGAGAGCATAGCATATTCTATATATTCTTCTTATATGAATTTCAAAAATAGACAAACTGTTACCTTCTACCTACTGGGGGTTATGCCCAGATACCATCATAGGGAGACACTGGTCCTAGAAATGTTCTCTATCTGGGTGGTGATCACACAAGGAGATACATGTATGTATATGTAAAGAGTCATCAGGTTATATACTTATAACTTCCATGTTTTATTATACGTTAAGTATACTTCAAGTTAAAAATTAATAGGTGAAATAAAGACATTTCCAGGCAAATAAAGAAGAAAATTGTATTTGTAGTCAGATAAACCTAGTTGTAAATGTTGAAAACAGAGTGGTGATCACTGCAATTACTTTACAGGACTAATGTGGTAATTAGAGATAAGGCATGTGAAGCATCTGGGCAAAGTCTGGCACTTTTCATAGTATAAATAATTTGCAGATACACTTATCTAGGCCAGTGCTTCCCAAGCTTTAATAAACATGCAGATCACCTGGGGATATTGTTAAAATGCAGACTCTGAATCTATAGGTCTGAGATGAGGCCTGAAATCCTGCATTTTTAAAAAGCTCCCAGATAATTCCAATGTTGCTTGTCCATGGACCATACTTTGAGTAGCAATGGGAGGGAATGGGGATGAATGGGTTTTATCAGTGGAGGGAACATTTTGATTCAATCAATGTTTTAAAAGCTATTTCTGCTGACAATTCACAAGATAGATTATAGGAGAAGGGAAATGACAGATCCAAGGGACAATGTATCCCTGAATTAAGAAAGGAGAAGGGAAATTGGGAAGCAGGAAAAGAGAAACATTTTGCAGAATTATCAGGATGTGGTATTTCACTGAATTTTAGGAGTGATGACAGAAATTCATCAAAGACAGCTTGGGATATTTAGCTTGGGATATTCAGTGATCAGACAGATAAATATACCTTAGTCGTAATTATTTTAATCAGATCCTTTTAATTAAAATTGAACTCAAGAGGAATGGATATAAAAAATACTTTTTTCCCAGTCTGGGTCATATGAGCCAAGAAAAATGAATATAGCAAAGGAAGCTATACAGATAAGGAGTTGTATAAGTCAGCTCCACTAAAGTAACAAACACTAAAAGTCCTATTGACTTACAATGCCAAAGCTTTGTTGTATTTCTGCTTGGTTCTGCTCCACATGTTTCCTTCTAGAATCTATGCTGAAGGAACACACTCCATTAGGAACAACAGAGTTGGAGGGAACATGTAGTGGATCAGGAAGCTTCTGCTCAAATGTAGTATTTATCACATCTGTCACTGTGCCATTTTCTAAACCAAGTCACATCAGAAGGCCTGGTGTCTATGAGGTGGGAACATAAACTTGTCCCACAGTAGCCACCACAGGTCACATGGTCATTGACAAGGAAGTAGATCCTCTTATAAGAAGAGGTAAGGACAAGTGGGAACAATAATGCAAACTACCAGAGGTGTGTACCCAGGCAAAGAGCCCAGGCTTCTCTGTACAGGGACAAAGAGGTTTGTGCCTATAACCAAAACCAACCCTAGATCTGCAATCTTTAATTCAACAGTTAAATATCCTCAGCATAAAACCTTTTACTAAAATGAAGCAAAATGGACAGATTTCAATTTTCTCACTTAATGAGCACTTAAATATTCTCAACTCTACAAGGGAGGAGAGAGGGGGAAGCCGGGGGTGTGAAAGAAAAACCATTACGAGGTAATCAGCCTCAGAGTAATCAAGACTGGCTGAATTCTCTCCTGACCTTTGCCTTGTTTAGTAGATGTCTTAAGAGAATGGTTGAGCTGTTTGGTGACCCAGTCTCTCTGTGCTCACATTGCTCAAGTTTTCCATGATCCTTTGCTAGAGGAATGAAAATACAAGTAATGTTTTAATTTTCTAGGAATCCTCAGTAGGGAAAATATCTATTCCTTGAAGGGAAATTAAATGTAGATAACCCATACAGTGCAGAAATTATTTAAAATTGCACAACTTCCAAGCTGTGTCCATCAACATTGAGTAAACTGATCAGCGAAATACTAATTACACCAATCAGTTCAAAGAATAGGATTTTTCCTAACTTATCTGTATATTTCTCATAGAATAATTGCCCTAAATTTGATGATTTGCAAAATGACATCATCACCCTCTGCTTTTGTTCAAAACTATTCTCTCCCTCAACATTCATGGTTTGTGAAATTTTTGCTTTTTCAAACCAGGGATAAACCTATGGTCATGCATATCACATTTCTTTTATTTTTCAATCACTATTCTTAACAGGACAAGAGAATGACTCAATGAAGAATGAAATAAAAATTGAGGCTGAGCCCCAGATCTCATATATGGAAACAGAAGGTATTGAAACAGAATATATTGTTATTAGAGAAGGAGATGAAACTGTGAACCATGACTTCTGTATATACTTGTGTGTGTGAGTGGTATGCGTGTGTCTTTCAGGCAATGATTACTAGAGAATGGCAATCATATTTTGCTTTGAGTGCCTGTTCAAACATGGAGGGGAAAATAAAGAACTTTAACTTTCTCTGCTTTAGCCACTGTGTTTTCTCTCAATGATTCCAAGTAAGACATCTCTGAGTATCCTTCTGTCTCTTTCTATTTAGAGCTTTCATCAAACCAAGATGCCACCATTGTGGAACAAACAGAAGTGATTCCACTAACAAATGACCATGAAGAAAAAGACGGCAGAAAGGGTAGGTCTACTCTTAAATTAACCCCTCAAGAATTGAGAGTTTCTTTGGATTCCTGCCTAGAATTAAACCATCAGTTATCCTCATGCAATTGCAGTCTGTGAAAGGGGAAAAATGAACATTTCTTTAATTCTAAACCTACTTTTAAAAGTAGAATAAAATCTAGAAGTAGCAAAAGAGGGTACTTGTAACAGTGTTTTGTTCTTCCAAATAGTATGAAGAGGTTTTTATTATTCATTTAGATACAGTTTAATTTAAAAATTATAGCACTGAGAAAGCCTATAGGAAATTGAAATTAGGCACTGGATATATTTGGTTCTCAGAAAATCTGAGATGGTTTTAAGCAAATAGATTAATTAACCTCTATTTTTATTAATTTAATTCTCTCTTCCTTCATGTGGTAGCAATTAAGGAAACAACTTATGTAGAATATGCACATATATGAACCTTCTAAATTGCAAGTTTTGTCTGATAATATTAGAATTCAATAGTACTGAATACTGTTAAAAAATAAGTGAACATTATAATGATTTCTGAAGACATTGGAAGATGAACACAATAAATTTTAATGCTATTTGGGGGAAGAAGCCAATTTATTGAAGTAAAGATAGACATCTGTTTTAAAAATCTATTTTAAAAAACTGCTATCAAATAAATTTAGTATTTATTGAAGAATTCCATTTTAAAATATAAAACAATCTCTTAAAAGAAGCTCAATTATGAAATAAAAAATGTTTTGTATACTATATCATAAATCATGCTGCTTTTAAATAAATGTGTTTGCAAAGCAGTTGCAAAGTAGTAACTTGACAGGCCTTGTTTATAGAACACAGTGATCAATTTTGTTTCCAAATTAAAATGCAGACATGATCTCAATTGTAAAATCAGGTCAATAGTAACTACAGCTTCCAAATTATGAGCTCTTCTTGGCAAGGGCATTGACACAGTTTAATTACTAAGGCATGTTAGTGATTTTGACTTTTTTTTTTCATTTCCACTAAATTGCATTTAGAAGCACAATATTCTTCCATGTCTGCCTCTAAAATCTTTTCTCTATTGCAATTCCTTGTCCATGTTCATGAGATCATGTTCCAGGCAAGTCAAGTAAATGGTATATTCAGAGTATTTTCTATCTGACGATGATAACACAGAATTGATACAAACCTTACTTCAGGTACAGATAATAAATGGCATTGTTTCCTTCAGTGGTACTTCTAAAATATAAAATACACAATGCAGTGCCTGTCTGCTTAATTTCTCTATAGCAGAAATTATGTACTTCGTATATTGTGCCTCAAGACATGCAAATGAGGAACATCAAACAACTGGTATATTTTCATCTGTTAAACTTGACCTACTAAGGAAACGCTGTATTCAGCCCATATTGACATGTTACCCTTCTCCTAGTGGCTTCTCCAACATTAGCTCTCCTATAGTTACTAAGAGTTAACTACTTCTCCCCTCTCCCCACGCTCTTCCAAAAATGTGGAATGGCATGTGAGAAACAAGTGAAGTCAAATTCCGCTGCTTGTTGGGAACTTTGAAGTAGAATTTGTTTAGATTTTACTTTTCACTGTAGGAGAGTAATAATGCCCGCGGGCTTGCATTAGCCAAGTTTCCCTTTCCCTTCTTTACCATGGACACTTAACTTGGCTCTGCCCCATACTTCTGTTTAAATTTGAAATAATTTAAAATACATTACCATATCATCTCATTCTTTGCCTCAAGTAAGAGTTAAAAGCTCTTGTATTGCATAGAAGAAAAGTAACCAAAGGTGAATGAGGCAATGTAGATTCAGAGTATGTGGCTGCAGCCCTGCCCCCCATTGACCAGCTGGGTGACCTGGGGCAAGTGATTTAATCTTTCAAGGCCTCAGTTTCCTTCCCTGTAAGATGGTGATTACAGAAGCACATGCCCCATATGGCTGTTGTGAAACTAAATGAGTTAATACCTGTAAAGCCATTACAATACCTGCCACATAGAAAGTACTTCATAGTGTTTAAAACTTAGTCACAATTTGATAAACTGATGATAAAGCCAAGAGAATCCACATACAGTTTCTCAAGTCCTTTCATTGTCCTTTCTATTTTGAAACCATAAAATTTCACATATTCTACATCATCTTTCAAGAACAAATTGTTCTGCACATTTCATTTTCAGTACTGTCTCCTGCAGGCAATTTCAATATGCATATTTTATTCTACAAAGATAGAACAATTAGTGAACAGTGGTGAGGTGGGAGATACTTCTTTCCATTTAGATAACCCTTTTTCTTTGTCAAAAATTCAATCTTCTGTTTCAGAAATGTTGCTTCAACCATAATTTCTATTTTTAAAAGATGCTATTGATCTATCGGTGTATCTACAGAATAGAAATTGTAAATAAGTTCAAATTAATAGATTTTTTTTGCTTTCTTCTGATTCATATAGTTCTTAAGAGTCCCACTTGAAAACATTTTAAGAATATAGCTCCAGGTTTTGTGTATATATTCAATGTCTCTTAATAGCAAGTTGCACATATGTATTAAGAATTACTCTTATCTGTAAACAAAAACAAATGAGTATTCTATTACATTTATAGGGATATTTTTTAGAAATATCAGTTCTCTTTTGAGAATCTTTTTAAGAAAATAAAAGTGGTTCCTTTTAAAAAATTCCAGGAAAGACCAGGAAAAATGTATAATCCTTCTCTCTCATTTTGTATCATTCTATAAGATTAGAAAATGTAGATAATCTTCAAGATACATCCTCTATTGCTCCCAGGTGTATGGGCACAGATGTTGCAACATTAAGTTTTGAAGTTAGCTCTGCCAAAATATTGGTTTTGAAAAGAAGAGAAAATAGTAAGCAGAAGTTCATGCTGATAAAATTACACAATAGCACAATGGACATTTCCCTGGGAGACCTGAAATACAAAAATTTCAACAGGCATAAAGTGAGATTTCACATATGTCAGCTTTTTTCATATAGCTTTATTGCCTCTTCCTAAATGAGTCCAGTTTTATGCTTTCCCAGCAGGATCTGCAGCACATATGAAATCCAGTAAAATAGCATCATTAAGGTTAATAACTAAATAGGAAAGTAATATTATAGGAGATCTCCTCTAAACAGAATCTCATATTTTGGCATTGGATATAAAGCCAGCATAAAAACATTTTTCTCAAGATTTTAATTTTTAGTTGACTTTAGAAATATTTGACATAAAATTTAACTATGTCAATACGGTATCATGATTAAATTACACAATTTTCATTTGTGTTTTATTATAAATATACTGGACTTTTTCTTCAAGTGTTATAAGAAATGCATAGATCCCAATTATTTTTCTTGTTATCAGTTAATAAGTATAAAATGGAATAGCAATCCGTTATCTATTTACCTAAGGTGGACAAAACGTTGATGGAGTCTTAAGGTGTATTATAGCTAACATCTTCTTGAAAAAGGATGGATACAAACAGGCATGTAACTGGAAAGTGAAATATAAGCCAGCAACAAGTATAAATTATCAAGTTCTTAGGTTCATGTTTTGGCCTCTGACTAGCATGACCATGTAAGAAAATGTACAGGGGTCCATGGCTTCTAGCTGTGGTGGTATGGTTCCAAGTAGTTATTTAACTCCTATGAATCCCAGTTTCTGGGGTAGTAAAATGAAGGGCATGAACTCAATGATGAAGTTATGAGTTTCTCCAATTTTATAAATTTTCTCAGGAGGCCAACTCTGAAGAATTACATTCTTGATGAAACAAGAGGTGATGACATGGGATCCCATGGTCATCAATACACTGAGAAAACTGAAGTCACAGGTTTTACTCAATTGTATTGATTATATTATTGATAAAATGCAGAGGTGCCCTAGACTAGACAAAAAGATCAACCAAATTAGCCATATGCTATTTCAGAACCTAACCAATAATTGGATAGCTAGTTGTTCCCCAAAGATATTTCAAGTGGGGAAAAATGCCTTATATGTTCTTGCAGCAACTCCAACCACTGTTTCATCTTTCGGTGAACACATAGTCGGTTAACCACTTTCTCTTCTGCTTCTACCTGTGAAATCCATTAGGAATTTGTCTGTAAACACCACCTCAAAGCCCTTGGTGTTTTCCATTATTGTTGGGATTCTTACTTTGCTGACAGAGACCTTTTCTCTCCTCTTGAAGAACAGCCTCTACACCAGCAATACAGCAACATCCATGTCGTTCAAGTTCTCATATGTCAGCCTATGTTCTTTACTATAGGCAATCACACTTTGAGCATAATTTTGAATCGTGCAAAATATTATGTGAAATTGAATCTTGAGCAATTAATTAATTAACATACTGGAACTTTATATTTTCAGAAGGTCTTTGTATCTCATCGTATCAACTTTAGTAATGCTGTATTTTTCACACTAGCAGAATGAAAATTTAGTTTCTTGGAGCAATTTTATTTCCATATGGTTTCTTCTTTTCAGCTTTCTTTCCTTATCATATTTTGTAACTGGAATTTGTCAACCGAAATTATGTTTTAGAAAGTAAGCTTGATTAATACTGCTGGTCCCTGTTCAGGTTTTATGAATATTTTAAAGTGCTTAATGGAATTCCTTGTATTGGTTGAATACATTGAACATTAAAAATTATAAAGTTTTTCCTAAATTATTTAGGTTTCCTGCATATCTATGTGTATGCAATATATACATATAGAACCAGTTCATTTGAATTGTACTGTGGAAGATAAGTAAAGATTCCATTTTTATATTCATATTTAACATGATTTTTATAATTTTGTTTTTAGAATGCTGATCTTCAGGTTTCTTCCTCAAATAAAACATGTAACTGACCCATCATTTTAAGGTTAATTAACATAGAAGAATGAAAAGCATATTCACTGCGACAATTTGGTTTTCATAATGTACTACTGTAGGTCTGTGTGTAAGTTTTCATTAAACATGTCTAGACTTCACATGTAGCTACTTGATAAGAAAACAGGTATCAGGCCGCTTGAATGTAACCAAATCCTGCAGCT